AAAAAGTACTCATTATCCACTCTTTTATTACTTTGAGGTAACTTCCACCAAGGAACCCTGGATTACTGAACACCTACAAAGTAATAAGTACTAAATAACTTGTGATTCGTGTCGGTGTCGGACGGCCTTTTTGAGATCCCGAGCGCAAAGTACGGGGATGGCCCAAAAAACCAAAAAACCAAAAAAAAATAAAAAATTAATGATTGTGTCTGTCTATATCAGTGCCATCTAGTCTATGGGAATGCCAAAATATAGACTAAATCTGTGAAATAAACCGGCAGTTCACACAAATGATTTTTTTTATATCCATGCAGAGACGTATGTGTTATATACGTCTCCGATCCATGCAACCATTTTGATATTTATTTTTAAATAGAAAATTATTTTAAAAACTGAAGAACCACTTGTATGTGTGTAATAAGAGGATACTTAACACTCTGCATACAGAGCCAGCAAAATCCTGGAGTTGAGGTTATTATATTCAATATAGCGATAGGTTCACTGTTGTCAGTGTTGTGTCCTGCTGTACTGTGGCATCCGTCTGACCGTCCATTCTTTTTTAGAACATTCCAACAAGTATTCGAAGGTGGTGAAAAAATTCAAAAGTAGATTGAACAGAAATTGGAAAGACTTACCAATAAAGTTTAACCCGACGTGTATGTGTTAGGCTGTGGTCTATACTTCAACTTGATCAGTGACAGCAAATAAGTTGGTAAAGGACAAAAAGAAAAGAAAACCTGATAACATAAGAGAAAACTTGTACAAGTGGTAAACAAATGCAGTGAAAATCTTTTAAAACTGTAAATAGCTAACTCCAAGGAATACATTCCAACATGAGAAGAGAAAAACTGTACAGTTATTTGAGAGGAGTTCTGTGTAAATAATCTCCGGAGACCACAACCTAACATATACCCGGTAGAACCAGGTAGAGGTAGAACACACAGTCCGTGCTGAAGCATGAGAATGGATTCATGAATACGGGCCCCAGGCAACGGTCGTTAGTTAGACAATAAATAGCGAATTGATGTCGCCTCTGCTACATATTAAAACTTCGCGGGCTATTTCACTTTGCGTCGAAGCGTTTTCCTGATAAAGATCGCAAGCATTTGTTTGACACTGAATGTTTACTCTATGCACACGAGGAAAGAATGTGATTTCGTTACTACTGTTACAACTTCTGCACGTTTGACCGCTTTACTAAGATGCATATATCTAAATAGCACAACACAACGTAATTAGAATGGGTGAGTTATGCATATTAACTGCATTTACGGAAAGAATGTCAGTAATAGACACTATAAGTTACATTTTACACTGTTTTACGTACACCAGCTCGGCAGCTGGCTAAGGCTGTGACCTTACTTCAAGTCGACACGCAGGAATGGAGACTGCTAAGGAATTATTGTACTGGAATATAGAACTACAGTAACAATAAATCGCTGCAGTTAGTTACTAATAAAACGCAGCAGGCATGAATATATTGACAAAGTTATCTGGAACCCAGCGTGATGGTTGACGTTTGTCTCCCTGAAACAAATGATAGATCTTTTGTTATAATTGGGTTAGCTTCATGCTAACTAAAAGCATTTGATAGGGCTTATATCACACCTACGTCGCAAATATAAATGTAACAGAAAAGGAAAAAATGTACGCCCACACCAAGGTTCGAACCAGGGACCCTTCAAAATATATATCAGGAATTTTAACTGTACATTGATTTTTTTATAAAAACAAAAAAAAAATGTAATCAACACACCAAAAATCGTAAGTGTGAACGAACTTTTAACTCTTAAAACTTGTCACCAACAAATATGTGCATACCATAAAGTATCGATGACAACAAGATATAGGACAGTCTCACAAGTCGAAGACTTACAACGACTGGAAGAACAGTGCGAACAGTGCGAAATTGAAATATCTGGTAGCAGACGATCGACCAAGTCCAGTTCCTATACATTCCTCTTTCCTTTTTTTAAGTCTTCGCCCCAAAGACAACTATTTACAACCCAGGTTCAGGTATCCCCTTGTCAAGCATACACCAAATGCTTGAATTAAACAAGGGTTGGTCACAGGCACCACTGTAACAGGAGAGGAAAAAATGCACAGCCAGACCAGGGTTCAAACCCGGGACCCTCCATGTTCTAGACGGAGGCTCTACCAATTGAGCTATATATCTGGTGGTCGACAATCGATCCAGTCCAGTTCCACTACATTAATAGGTAAAAGGAGAAGACCGGAATTCAGATCTGGGACCCTCAAACACTAGATGGGCGCTCTTACCTACTGAGCCACCAGGTTGCCAGCAGTTGACCAAGTACAGTTCTGCTACAAATAAATGAGTTGTTAACTAAAACCCAACTAAAACCCACTGGGTTGCTATTTAGTTACAAGTCTCTTTCCCATTTTTTCCTCATTCAAAATGACGAAGCTTGACTCTGATGCTTTAAGTTGCTACTTTATTCTGTGAATAGTGGAAGCTTAACCCTACAAAGATCAATACACAGCACTAAAGTCCCATATATGTGTAAACACAGTTAATTATAAAAATAGTAATTGTTTATCTTTATAGTAATTGTTAAGTTGTAATACTGCACCTGTACACATCATCCAGTTTATTGGTACCCGTTAAAATATCTACCACAACTGTGTCAAGGGTTTATATTGATTCTTTTGACAGTCTTATTAAGATTGGTATAATCTTAAACCATACCTGTAATAAAAACATACACAAAATTGCAGGTAACATAAACACGCATATTTGTACATAACTATTAAAATGAGTAGATCGACTTACGAATTGATTGCATTATTTCATTAATTCTTTTCTTGTGACTAGTTTGAAATAAACAACTACAGTAACATGTTGACACTGAACCAAAAGAGGTTACAGAAATGACTATATGCCACATGCACATAAATAAGTTGGTGTTTTGTTGTTTGTGATGATGAGACAAGTCCTAGTCGGGGGGAATGTACATGAAAACAACTTGTATAATACAGCAAATTTCACAATAGCCTGTCGGTGTAACTCTGGTTTACCTAACCCTTTCACCCCTATGTAACTTTAATAAACTCTACCATGCATTGACCTGGAAAAGTCCATCATGGTCTATAAGTGGTGAAAGGGTTAACATATTCTGATGAGTGAAATATTATGCATAATAAAAACAGATAAGCAAAAGAATCAAAAAAGCTGTTCATTATCAAATTATTTGAAAAAAAAATTTAGAGTCCAAGGAGGAGACACAAGTTAGATATGTTGAATTACACGTTTACCTTATATTTAACTGATCTTTGACCTTTATATGTAAGTCACGTCCAATCCTCCAGAATCTTCGAGTGAACATGCTCGGAAGAAAAGGTGAAAAGTGATCAGCTGTTGTTAGTTGCCAAAGTTGATCCCCTAGTTATGCGTTGACATGAATAAGTTGTGGGACTTACTGGCTGAATAAGTGTGTGTATGATCGTTTGACTTACCTAGAATTCATGAATTAGGCATATTCAGACTTCAACATTTTCTGTACCAACGTGATGACCCTTATTTACTATTGAAGTTAATATTGGTACACAGAGCTAGAGTAAAAACCTTTTAATTGAGTGCTATAATGTTTCCTCAAAAGAATTGCTTGGTCTGCTTTCAAGGTCCAAAGGGTCAAATATGTTAAAAACTTAAACAACTTTATCTAAAGAGCCATAAGGTCTAAATTAAAGTCATAATACTTGGGTATGTTACATATATATAGACCAGCAGTGTAGTTTTATTGTGTTGAGGTCAAAGGTCAATTTATAGCCCTGGTCAAGGGTCAAAAGTCAACATGGAATATTATGAATAAATGACTTGAAACATCTTATTATGGTTCAATGGGGCCTACACATCCTTCTGTGCCATGTACACAGTCTCACAACCCTACATTGACATAATCCTAATATTATGGTAGCTGGTACATTTGATGGAGTGCAATAAAACCAAAGTTCCATAGTGACTTTGATATCCTTTTATAAGACGTGAGTATTTAGGTTAAAACCTGATTATACATTATATATTCTTGCAAGGTATGAAGGGATGAACACAACCTTGCATGCTATTGGGATATGCCAAAGGGTCTGCCCTCTCTGGGAAATAAATCCCTGGTTTATACTTATTAACTAATATTAAATGTACAAAAGAAATTATTTTGACAGCCAGAACTGACCTGTCGAGTACCACATTTACTACAGGGAAACTAAAACAAACTTGAATATGCATGGACATGTAGCTATCGTGATTCACATACATGTACCACTATCTGTAGTGTTGGAGCCCCTCAGTGAATTCTTGTCCTAGATTTTTGCATCATAATATATTGATATAATTAACAGGCCAAGTTATATTAATGTTGTGTTGTATTGTTCCATTTGTAATTTGTATCCAATGCAAGTTTTCACAGTAAAATTTTCTAACTCCATGTTCCTGTCACACATGTTGATGGATTGGAAAGTGCTTTTCTAAATCAAAATTTTATGAAAAAAAAATCGAAAAGCTCCTTGAACAATTGTTTTATCTGGAAAGTTTTGGAGTGAAACAGAAACAGTAGACAGGACAGACTTCTTGAACCTTATTCTGCAAAAGAAATGTTTTTAAATTAATCTGTATGATTCTTTTTATCAATAATTAGAGTGGAGCTCTGGCTTTTTGTGAAAAGAAATTGCTTTGTTGTATATTGGCTTTTAACAATTCTGAGAACCAAATATTTTAAGGTTAGGCCTTTGTGGCTCTTTCTATGAAACAAGTAGCCGGGATTTGTACTTTATGTCAAAAATTGTATGATGACTATACAAAGATTCATCTTTGTAATTTAAATATTTTTGTTTGTTTGGCCACTTGTCTTTCTCTGAAACAAATTTCAACCTGGTTGTAGTCTTTATATATAAACAAATAATTGCACATTGACAGTCAGCATATAAAACAAATATGTCTCAGCTTGGCCTTTTGGTGGACATATCTTGATGCACGTAGGCCATAACCAGAACATTGTCACAGGAAATAGAAAGTGAACTGATTCGTAATGCCTTCTAAACGAACAAATGAGGAGGAAAGTAGACTGTTGGAAAGTGATGGTAATAAGGATGACTACGAGGAAAGCAGCTTTTCCTATACATTAGGGTTTAAACAGGATTACAAAACCTGGCAGAAAGAACAAAGAGGTGAGAGAGGAATTATTGTAATGTATGTTAAACTTTGATGTCAATTCGGCACAACCATGATTATGTAGAATAGCCTTTGTTTGGTCCATTGCATGGTTATTCAAATTAACCAAAATCAAAGAATGATTTTTTTCTTGATTTTCAAGCTTGAACAGAATAATTTGTCGATTTTTCATTGTAACTTTACATATGTTACTAGTATGTATAGCACATTATACGTGTAATTTGTGTTAGAATTGAGGTTATATGATATATTGAAGTACCTGACATGTTACCTAGAACCTGTGATTTGTGCTAGAATTTAGAATATACCCTTGTTTCAAGGAAACAGATATTTGATTATAATGGCATCATTCATGTTCCATATTGTTTCTAGTCCCCAATCAGACATTTCTACACACCATAATCATGGTTCTGTACCTTTTCCAGTTCTCTCACTCCTGAGTGTTTCATTTCCACCAATGCTACTTGGCATTCTGTACTACATACTTTTATACCCTTACAAGGTCATTTGCATACATATACCTATCAATTTTCTCTAAAATACCTACACAAGTACGCCACTTAAATGAACAGTTTGGAAAACCTAAAATATAAACTCTTGTGTATATTAGCTTGTCTGCAGGGCCAGGAGAAGTTTGTAAGGAATCAGCCTTATTTAAGTTGAAGCATTTTTATTTGCTTTTGAATAATTAAGACCCCAACCATGTAACCAGATTTGTGCATGCTGGGCATGAGAAAACAAACAATAATGCTACACCAGTAGAATGGCTCTGGGGTCCAACCATATCCCAGATAACCTTATAGTTCCTGGGTCCTTACATGATAGTAGTTGAGATCCCCTACTTATAAGAATGTATACAATTGCTGAGCTTTATTTAAGTGGAAGCATTTTCATTTGCTTATGAATAAAAAAGCAATGATAACTTTGAATATACAATACACATACTCAACTATTGGCCCAACGACTTACTAAATTTCAGAAATTCTGCAGGACAAATGGTGGCAGTATAGATTGAAACTTAATCACATCTTTGTATTGATTTGATTTTTTTTTAGCCAAGGAGAAGTTGGAGGCAAAGACCAGATGGTTTGTTTACATCAGCCACTTCCTGTCGGCCTGGGTACGTACAGAATTAATTTATCCATGCTTGAAAACTTGTAGATTTCCTGAGGATTCTTTTATTGGCAATGATATATGAGTACTGAGATTGTTTGAATATCTTACAGACTAATTAAAAACATGTTACATGTGAAGGTATAATTATCCAAATATCTAAACACCTGCTATTAGATTGCGTTGACCTTCAGCTGACTAGAGATTTTTTTTATAAAACCGGTTATAGGACAGATCTCCAATCTCTTTTTGAATCAGTCAATGTCTCTGCAATTCTTACCTACCTGAAAACTGTTGGTCTGTTCAAACAGATATAACTAACCATAGCCACTTTTACTTAACAAGTTGACGTTTGTCTTTACCTTTACGTTCATTTGGTACCATTTCCTTAAACCTGTTTACTTTATTTGTCCTAATAACCTCTTTACTGTGTGTTAGTGTTGATGGGCCGCTAAGAATCCAATAATAACAGTAATTTTTGTCACACTAGACCTAATTTTTGTCACACTAGACCTAATTTTTGTCACAATAGACCTGGTTTTTGAAATAATGTGTTTGAGATTAATTTCTCCATAGAAAATTGCTGAAAAACATACAGGTGTTCAAAACTCAACATTCACACAAGTTTATCAATTGTATTCTTGAAATTAATATGTTTGTTTCATATTAAAAAAAGGCCATAGCAGGTGAGCTATTCAGGCTCTTGGGCCTCTTGTTTTTTGTTTTATATCATACCAATCTGAATCTAAAGTCTAGCTGACTAACATGTCTATGTTAACAGACATTGATTTTAATGTTTTACCTGAATCAGGGCGACAGGATGTGGTCGTTTGGAGTGGGAATCTTCCTGGTACAGTTGGAGCCAGTATCGCTGAGGCTTGTTGCTATCTATGGGTTTGCTAATGGTGGCTCTATCTTGTTACTGGGGGCCATTGTCGGTGACTGGGTGGACAAGACAGCCAGACTTTCAGGTAAGATGATTGTCACAGGTAAGATGATTGTCACAGGTAAGATGATTGTCACTGGTAAGATGATTGTCACTGGTAAGATGATTGTCACGGGTAAGATGATTGTCAGGGGAAAGATGATTGTCACTAGTAAGATGATTGTCACGGGTAAGATGATTGTCAGGGGAAAGATGATTGTCACTAGTAGGAAATTCCCTACAGCTAAGATGATTGTCACGGGTAAGATGATTGTCACAGGTAATATGAGTATCACAGGTAAGATGATTGTCACTAGTAAGATGATTGTCACTAGTAAGATGATAATCACAGGTAAGATGATTGTCACAGGTAAGATGATTGTCACTGGTATGATGATTGTCACTGGTAAGATGATTGTCACTGGTATGATGATTGTCACAGGTAAGACGATTGTCACAGGTAAGATGATTGTCACTAGTAAGATGATAATCACTGGTAAGATGATTGTCACAGGTAAGATGATTGTCACTGGTATGATGATTGTCACTGGTAAGATGATTGTCACTGGTATGATGATTGTCACATGTAAGATGATTGTCACTGGTATGATGATTGTCACATGTAAGACGATTGTCACAGGTAAGATGATTGTCAGGGGTAAAGATTTTATTATTTTAGAACCAATCTCAAGTCATTCCTGTTATTGTAGTGTAAACAGGATTACCTCAATATAATTTTTGTTTTGTTTCCATAGCGGCTAAATGGACGTTGGTGATACAGAACATGAGCGTATGTTTGTGTTCCGTCCTTGTGTACTTCGTGTTCCAATACCATGCCGAGATAAAGGAGGTTTGGCCGGAGCAGGGATTAGCCGACTTGTCCTACGCTGTTATCATCGTCATATCCATTATAGGAAATCTGGCGAGTGAGGGACGAAAGATTGCGGTGGAACGTGACTGGGTTGTTGTGATTTGTGGGCAGGACAAAGACTTGCTAGCGAGTATGAAAAACTGTTAACAAGGAATCAGATTCTTTATGGTTATCTCGTTATAAGCCTATGCTTGGTATTATGAGTTTAATTGCATACTTTAACAGATTAACTGCTTAAATGAACTTTGGAAAAAAAACACTTTCCTTATATGTTCACCACAATTTTGAAGTGCCATACCAATGTTACCTCTATCTAATGAAAAGTTATTTTATATGTACGAATCTGCAAATATATCCTAAACTACATATTAGTCCCCCACCAGCATTACGGGGCATATCTCAAATATGCTGTCTCATACTACTGCCAAATTGTGTGTGTAACCTCACGGATGGTGGAATGTTGTGTACTAGAATCAGGTCACATGACCAAATGGATACAAAGTTATGGCCCTTTGAATGCCACGTCTTTGTCAAGAGCATATCTCTCCTACTCTGTCACCTATAATTGCAAACTTTTTATGAGAGTATCTCTTGGAATAGCGATGTGTCGGATGATGATATTGAGTCTTTGGCTCCGCTTTATACAGTTGTTGCGCGCTGTTCGGTTTTCATTCCAAAGTTTGTTTGGAGGTGGGGGACTATAGACTGCTGGCAATACTGATCCCTACTTTGAAATGAAATTTCCATGTATCCATGCATATAAATCCAATGGTCCTAGTACAGTATGCAACTTTTAGATAAATTTAATTTGGCCATTTTCATTTCATATCAAGAAAAGGATCTAACTGATAATACAAATGGAAATAGAAATGATGAGAAACAACACCACATAATCCGGTACAAAATGTGATGCATGATTTATATCCCATGTGCTATGTGATAATACTAATGTAAATGATAGGTGTAAATGTTATGTGACAGAATGAGTTGTTGAAGGTTTGTTGATCTCTGTTACAGGCATGACCTCTTTCCTCAGAACCATTGACCTTACGACATTGATCTTGGCACCTGTCGTTACGGGACAGATCATAGCCTTTACAGTGATAGGATACGGGGCTCTATTTATAGCAGCTTGGAATCTGGTGTCTGTCGTGATTGAATATATCTTTGTTTTGAAAGTGTATGAGAAAGTGCCAGCTCTAAGAGCAGTCAAAAACAAAGGTGAGTTCTGTTGTTGAAGGGTTATGGTTAGAATTTGTTGATATTTATCCGAATGTATTACTATAGAGGATGCGTTTTGTCTCTTGTTGAATTCAAATTACATATTCATTAAGTGAGGATATATAGTGCACTAATATTTTGTAGGAGATTTCTTTTATGAAAGAAAAAAACCAACTCTTTAAGAAGCATTGAATATTTTATTCCCCCATTATACTATCAGAAGGGACTAGATTTATACACTCCATTATTAAAAATAAACTTCACATACCAGCACTTCCATGATTTGTAAATGGTGGGCAACAAGATCTCTGCATAATCTCTAGTTAACAAAATGTATGTTGGAGCTGGTTTTATTTTTTTCTTGTACATTGTAGATCGTAAAGCAGTTGACAAGGGGCCATCAGACAAAGAATCTCCACTGATGGATGAAGGAGAAGAACAGATCACTGTCAATGAAGATCTTGAAGCTGCTAGCAGTCCACCTCAACAGATCAAGCAGACACAGAACCTTGATGAAACCAGCCTTAAAACAGAACAGGCTATCAAAACTCTGACACCTAGTGATGAACCTGAAGATACAAACTGCAGCGGGAACTGTGCCAGTTGTCTGAGAAAAGTTTTTAAAAGTTTTATAATTTTGTATCGAGGCTGGAGTACCTACATGAAATATAATGTTGCATTCGCTGGCCTTGGTCTATCAATGTTGTACATGACAGTTTTGGGATTTGATAATATCACAACTGGTGAGTGTGTAATTAATTCAAACATCAAATTTAAATGTTCAGTTTTTACCATATTTACTGTAATAGACAACCCTCCACCATGTGGGGAAGGCAATGGTTTCTCTCCCCTGGACGGGACATACCAAAATCCCTAAAAACGGTAGTTGATATTCTTTACTGTTTTGTTTACTAATATTCGCTGTAAAGTTAGAATTGCCCTCATCACGGAGGAGGAAAAGGCAAACATTAAACTACAGTGAAAATTTCCCAGTATACAGTAGTCACTACATACAGGTGGGTACTCTATTTGTCCCTAACCTGTCAGTGTTTTAGATTCATGAAGAATAATAACTTCTGAATGGCTGAATAACTTTCTAATTACCAGGTTGCTTTATGATGACTGGACATTGTGTTATATATACATGTGGATACTGTCGAGATTCAATTTTTAGCCACGGATCAAAACATCAGCTTATTATTCCAGCCATGGCTCCTGAATGATTGTATTTTAATGAAATCTCGTGGATGTCAGGAGTTATCATGTCTGGGGACCAAGTGTTTTCTCCAGGTTTGAAAACGATGGGAGCCATTGGTAGTGTGATATAGACAGAATATAGAAATATATGGGGGATGTACAAAATCCCCCCTTCTGGAGAAAACACGGGGACCCAATTACACTGTATTGTTTTGTCATATTTCATCTTGTTTGTTCATGTGTAATTATGAATTTATTATGTGACTTTCTTGTATGCTGTGTTGTATGATTGACTTTATTTTATCATTTTTCAGGCTACGCCATTTCCCAGGGTGTATCCGAGTCTATTTTGGGGTTTCTAATGGCAGCAGGTGCCATTGTAGGAATTCTGGGAACCATTGTATACCCTCGCATGCGGAAACGCATCGGCCTGGAAAGGACAGGACTATTTGGCATTTTATCACAGATTCTTATCCTTACATTGTGTGTAGCAGCAGTTTGGGCACCTGGCAGCCCTTTTGATCTCCTCTATGATTCAAGAGTTCCGAAAGGGGAGATAATTACTTCAAATCAATGTGAAAATATGAGCATTATCATCACCAATCAGACACTCAATAATAGTACTGGTACCAACAGAACAAATCTAGGATACCAGGTTTCCTCAGATTTTAATTTAGCCAATCAGAGTGCTGTATGCAATGGGACTGAGGAGGGCACGAGTACAGGACCTGGTTCTTACATTTCTATTTCACTGTTAATGGGAGGAATCATTGGTGCCAGGTTTGGTGAGTAGATTCACCAGAGACTCGCTCTAAATGTAGATGGAAATGACATTGATATTGTATACTGGTACAGCCTAAAATTACTGTAGTTGTATATATATGTACTGGACAATAGATTTTGTGAAAATGCATCTTTATAATAAGTATTGATTGTTTAGAAAAACTGAAAGGAAAAATTGATGGGAGAATTATATCGTAGCACCCTCAGAGAAATATTCTCATTATGACATTTTATAGAAAACTCAATGACATTACTTTGTATTTAAGTAGAAGGAAAAGCTTTCTCACTGAAAACTGAAAAATATCTGAGAAGCCGAAATAAAAGTAATTTAATGATTTGTGTTTTGTTTGATTGACTTTGCTTTAACTTAATCATTTAGGTTTTTTTTTTGAACTAGTTAACTAACCTGACAAAATTTATTTTATTGTCTTAATACCAAACTCTACAACACATAATATAGTGTATTTTATTTTATCTAGGACTTTGGATAGCAGACCTTACTATCACTCAGCTCTTCCTCGAAGCCGTCGTTGAGCGTGAACGTGGAATCGTCAACGGAGTTCAAAGTTCACTGAATCAGTGTGCAGACATGATTAAATTCCTGATGGTAATAGTAGCACCTGATCCGGAGGTGTTTGGAATTCTCATATTGATCTCATTTGCATTCATTTGTTTGGGATGGTTGTTCTATGCCAAATATTCCAGATCAGCTCGTGGACATCTTTTCCATTTCGAAAAGGTTGCAGCATGTTTTGATTCCAAAAAAGCACTTCCTGTAATAGATATAACAAAAACAGAGACAGAAAGTATTAGAAGTAGATAAGATTTTAAGAGAAGAGAAGAATTTTCCTTCGACAGTGGAACTACACTTGTCATTTTCAAAACATTTTAGTTTTATGAAAAAAAATCAGTATTATATATTTTTTCTGATCAGTTGTATTTCATTGGAAATTAAAGCTTGTTGCTCTAGTCCTTGTTGAAAGGTGGTTAAGATTGATATAGTATCAGTAATTTGTCTGAGATTAAATGTCTCCTGTTTGTAAAGTACATACTGTATATATAACAAATACAAAAAATGGGAAAAAAATGTTCAAAGTAGAAGAGAAAATAGAAATTATTGTTATGTATCTGATTTGATATATTTTCAAAATTGACCGTGCCATTACTTTAGGAGTTGCCTTCAGCATGCCCTGAACCCACAACACCTGAATCCACTGTTGTGGGTTTTCATTGGAAGCACTTTTTTTCCCCCGTGTGAGCTTTAAGAGCTTAAAATTTTCTTCTGAATAATTGGTTATAATGAACACAAATTAAACAAAACATGCTATTTAACAGCACTATAAAGTAATTATTGTTAGTGTTGATGCAGCATATGTTATATCGAAATAGGACCAATCATGTGTAAAATTACTTAGTTGTATAGTTTGGTAATAAGGGGGCTTAGCCATATAATGGTTCTCATTATTGGTAAAATATTGTACAGTGCTGTCTAGCTTAGATTTTCAATGAATTTTTATAAATATTTTTAATCTTTTTCTCACATAAAACGGAAATTGTATCACAAATACAAAACCTCAACTACAGTAAAACATCAGTCTTACCCCCTAAGTAGGTAACAGTTATGTGCCCTGGTATTCATCCTCAGAGTTCCGGGGGTTACTCTCATTGATGTTCCCTGCACCCCTGGAACATGTCATGACACACTTGAAGGTCCTGTATGTGTCACATTGTGGATGATACCGGTACACTAGCTTGATCCTTTATTGTACAACAGAAGAGCCACACAGACGTGTAACAGTAAGATTGACCGGCTTTGAAGCGTACTGCGCGCCTACAATTTTGTCATGACATATTCCAGGGGTGCAGAGAACACGAGCGAGCATTACCCCTGAAGTTTCTAGGATGCCTGGAATTGTAAACATCTGATCTGAAAACTCAAATCACGCCTATATATGGTGAAGTCATTGGTTCTGTTCTAAGGGGTTTGTTATATAGACCTGTTTTACTGTGTAGGACTGGTTGGAAACCTTTCTGTTTTTGTGATGAAAAGTAAATGTTGTCAACCAACGTTTATCTTAGAGGTAAATATTGTGGCATTTTAAACATGGTGCTAGGTTGGACTCAGGTTGTCAAGGACAAGTTTGATAATTAAACAGGGTATCAAAATAACTACATATATAGATGGGGTGATGCTTGATGAAATAATTTTATACATAGAGGTACCACAGAGTACAGATGTTTTAACAAGTTTATGTTAAGTAAAGTTTGTAAATTTTCTAATTTTAGAAAGAATTTGAGGCTTAAAATAGCATTTATATATTTTTTTCCGTTTTTTTTAAATTTGAAAATAACGTAACAGGAATTGCATAAATATTATAAACAACAGTCATGAACTTCTTTCTACGAATCTTTTCTGGGACATTGTCGAGTGATTGTTGTTGTACAAACAACCTTTGGGTTTCCCTGGATAAACTACATGGGTTTCCCTGGATAAACTACATGGGTTTCCCTGGACAAACTACATAGGTTTCCCTGGATAAACTACATGGGTTTATTTTATGATGAATGCTCATGAGAAATAAAATTATAACATGTATAACAAGCACTTGGGTGAATAGATTTAATCATGTATCAATACTAGGGGTACATTCGCGTATCCGGTTTAAACAGTTGAACCGGTTGAACTTGTAAAGAAAACGACAGGCACAGATCTGGACCGAGGCCGAGCTCAGGAAAATTTGGCACGTGTAGATTGAGGGGTCCAGACGAACCTGACTGAAACTAAAATGCTGACTATTGCCAGTTTGCATTATTTCTTTTTAAAACAATGTCAACTCACATGTAGTTTTTAAAAACATTATGTAATTCAGTGGACGGATGAAAGAAGGTCATAATATTCTTGATACACTGTTTTTTATTCTCCGACACTGTGCATTTTAAGCTCTGCTTATAGAACGGTCCAAGTACGTTCGTTTATCGTGGAATATTTCTGCACCACACGTACCGTTTCAACCGGGATACGCGAATGTAGCGTTGTATTCAAAGTATTCTAAAGGATGTAACTCTAACACAAGTTTGTGGAGCTGATTTTTCTAAGCTTTTAAATGACAGGATATTTTTTTTTAATCTGGTATCTTTTATAATCCTGTTGCCATGCCGATGAAGTTGATTGTTTTATCTAGTACAATACCTATGTGAAGTACACTTAAAGTACCGTAGTTATATATATGTTTGTTTTTTACTTTAGTGATTTTTTTGTTGTTGTTAAATATTTACTCGTGATTTTAATGAAGTTTTAGTATTTTTAATATGTTTGTTTTTAATTCTGACACAAAATCATAATCAAACAGGTGAGTATGGATATTTATTTTATGTTAATATAAAAAAAACCACTCATAAACAATATATAAACAACTGTTATGTGTTTGCGTGTTTGTATTTAAAAGGGTACGGCCTGCCATGGAGTGGTGTGGGGCATGTGTGGCCATTTGAGTTTGGCAACTGTGTCTTCCACATTTTCTGAAAAAACCCATGCAAAATAAAAATAAATAAAAAAAAGTATAAAATGATCTTGGGTGTGGTTACGGAGGGGACAAAAATTCGTAGAATGGCACATGACTCATGACTCATTATCTTTTTTGTTTATGGACAAATTTGTTAAAGAAAAAACTATTTTAGGTACATTTGATTACATGTAGCACGAAGGGGGGATGTTTCCTGTTAAAAACAGACATCTGTTAATAGTTTACATCAGCAATACAATGAGTATTTACATCTATAAATACCTACGAAGTGTATCAAATGATAATGATAATGCATTGAAAATTCTACTGACTTAATTGCATTTCATGTTTTATTTGACGCATTAAAGAAATTGTTTACAGCAATTATTTCGCTATTTATACACAAAAAAAAAGATTCTGGTATCATCAGGATCATTTTATCTGTCAGAGTTACCTCCCTCTATCCATTCAAAAGAAGCACAAATCACAGTATGAATGGAGATAGTCATCACATTGCACAGATCCAGGATTTTTCAATGGTATGTTCCCAGTAAAAGCAAAATATTTCTTAAACAGTATGGCAAGCCTGTTCATACAGAACAAGATGTTTGTTAAAAGTAAAGAAGCTTCTATTTGTTAATTACTTGCAGTTTTATATTGTACCACAATAATATATGCATCGATATTTACACTTATTTGTACACTTTTATAAAAACAATCATGGTAGGAATATACTTTAATAGAAAGTTATCTGATGGAGAAATATTCTTTTGCTCGTAAGGTAGTTAACACATGGAACAATCTTTCAGAAAAAGTTTAAGCAAGGGTTATGTGTTACAATAGCCAGGTGACTTGGACCAAGGTTTGGGAATGATGTAAACATTACAGACGGAAGAACTCCCTCCTCCACCTGTTGTACTCATCACCTTTGTAGAAGGACAAGGAATAGTGATAAAGATAGTGCAGTCACTGGGGCTCGAACCCAATGACCCTTGGCTCTCCAGCCCAATGCTCTACCGCTGAGCTAAAGGGAAATTCCCTACAGCTGATGCTTGTAAGGCAGCCTTATCAATGCACATCTTTAACACCTTGGCTTTTAATTAATTCTTGATAGGAGCCACTTTCTGCAAGACATTGTATGGTGGACATCTTGAATTTCAGAGATGGCTTCCGTGTCAAAACAATCGCAGTAATATCTCTGTCTTGGTGACTTTCCCCCCTTGTCCATCGTGTTCCAGACAGCCATCTTGATTTTGGCAGCTAAAAGTTTGTTAGTGCTATTTTCAGAAAGTATGTGGAGATTTTTGTCAAATTATAAAAGCTGAGCTCCCATCAGGCAACGGTCTTGATTTTGGCGGAGAAAGATTGTTATTGCTATTTCTCAAAAACTCCCAGAGGGATTATTCTTGAATTTCATGTCTAGGTTCCCATTGGTTCAAAGTTGTGTACCGGGTATGTTTCATTTTCACATTGATCGGCAGACATCTTGATTTTGACCATAACGTTTGTTATCACTATGAGGTATTTCTCAAAAAGTTAAGTACAGTGTACATTTTTTTCTCAATTTTTTGTAAATACCATAGGTTTATTTATCCTGTTCCTTACTTTTGCATGTTTTAGGCTTGACCAGAACAGGACAGCTACCATAAATCATAAATATGTCTTATTCTTTTTTTTACACATTACCTTTTAAGTTTATATTTATTAGTCAGTAGAAAGTATCGCTTTGAAAGGACAGAGTCAAACATAGCAGTATTATGAAGTTAAGATGAAAAGTTACTACATGATGTGTTTACTGTTCCATCTCGCTGCAGTTGGTTGAAATCGCGGCCTGCTTCCTTTTGCTACTGCTATGCCACTCTTGGGTAGTTATGTCCTGGTACTACCACTAATGCTGATGACCAGCCAACCTAAAGGGTCAATTAGGTTTGAATTCTTTTAAAAGCCTAATCCTCTTTAGTTGTTTGTATTCAATTAAATTGGCTATGAACCAATCCTAGAGACCAGGATATAATTGTTAATGATAATATTTTGCCATGTACAGGTCCTTCAAGTGAGAACCTTCAATAATGTTGTGATAACACGGACATCCCTGACACTCCCCCAACATGTTAACCACCACCATGGTCTTTGGGGGATTACTATATACAACCACCACACCCGGCACCAGCTAGGCAATGCTAGAAGGGAGCCTGCTTTTCATTTGATGGAGGAAGCCATATCAGCAGGACAATCAGGGCTTGTACCTAACAGTGCAACGGGTCTGCGGCCCACTGACGGCCGTGCATCAATGAATTAGATAGTCCAGAGTGTTAGACCATTGCGCCATTGGGACACTTAGATATCGAGGAAATAATACTAGCCTGAAAGCCTCTAGTTGTTTTTGTTTTGACAAAGTAAAGAACAACGCAGATTTCGTCTTTAATATCAGACAGTTTTATTGGACTGAATGTTGATCACATATGACTTAAATACTGATAGTTAACTAACATGAATACGAAACAAAATGTTTTTTAAAAAAATCTAACATTCACCCTACTGTGACAACCAATTAGTACTTATGATGCAGAACCACAATAATCACACATACATCAATTAATGAATTAAATACATTTATGATAATTAAAGAAATAATAATTGAGCTTATCATTATCAATGTAAATAATTTAAATATTATTAAATCAATTGTATTGGCTGATTGAGCCTACAATGACAATATAAGTATTGTGAGTTTCTAAAGTAAGAGGCTTGATTCATTTAACAATATTTAGTGCAAATCCAAATATACCCAGCTGTTATGGGAAGCAGACTGATCATTTCACTTGGGTAAGAAAAACAAGATGCAGCATCTAGAAATCTAGTTTGTGAATGATTAAAGAATAAACAGTGTCATCCTGATATGATCCTACAATTTAAACAGATCCAATGAAAACTATACATGAATAATCAGAATTTAAATTTAATTTTCGAAGGCATGGACATTTTAATTGCCCAAAATTTATTTCAATAATAATTTCCAAACTTCAGAGACAGATAAAAAAAAAAATACAGTAAAAATTCCAGCGGATAAAAATAATGATGATAACAAACATTTAAGTAGAGAAACATCACTTTTCATTTAAAACTACAAATGTACCCTGATTCTGAAAACTTACATAAAAATACATATACATGTGTATGGTATAGTAATAAACTTATGTTGGCCAATTACGTGTACTAATTAATGAGATTTGTTCAAAAACTTATCCACAAATATTGTTATGCCACTTTCACATTTAGGCCAGATAACCAAACTAATGTGTTAGAATGTACTTAGGCTGTTTTTATTGCCTACCCTTAGTTTTTTTGCTGGTAGTCAAAAAGATTTTTCGTTTTTCCTAACAATGACATCAAATGACTCTATCTTTCATTCTTTTTAATAGTAGTTTTTTTATGTCCTGATCTAAACTTTCTGCCATGTTTTAACATAAAAACCAGTACTTGTTGTGTGTCTGCTGTTGGAAATGTATGTCTGCTGAGGACATAAGGTCTCCTATGATCAGCAGTAAAAATGTCTGATGTTAAGTGGGCAATATAATTGTCTGTTGTGGACAATATAAATGTCTGTTGTGGACAATATAAATGTCTATTTTTGACAATATAAATGGACTTTCGAGATATTGATAGGCAGTATACTCAGCAGGATAAAAGTATAAGATTTTCACGTTAGCTTCCCTACAAGACATTAATGTTCACAGTTTTAAGGTAAAGGGTACCACTACACAACTTTGAGTTCCACTCCAGAGATGTTTTATGATAAGTGTATTCTCCCTTGTGTATATATATATTTGGCTTGTTTCTGTTTCAACGTCCTATAAACAGTTATGGAACAGATATAGACAACAAAACCTAAGTGTAATTGTTCTGGCTTCGAGTTACTTCCCTTTTGTTAGGCAGGCTTCGAGTAACTTCCCTTCTGTTAGGCAATCATCTTTCATTGTAATACCCTGCATTTACCATTTCTTCACAGCAAACATAAGTATATGTGTAGGAACCGTTCCTTCACAGCAAACATAAGTATATGTGTAGGAACCGTTCCTTCACAGCAAACATAAGTATATGTGTAGGATTGCCTTTATGTAAGTGCTGAGTTCAAACAGTGGAATTCCTGTTTCTTTGCTTCGCTTTTGATGAATGATAGTTTATTTTTGATTTTGTTTCCAATTTTAAGCAAATGTAGTTCTGTAAAGTGCATCACAAGATATGATAAATATGGAATACATCAGTAGCAAATGACATATTTCATAATAGAGACAAAGTTGTACTGTGTTAAGTTTATTGAACTCTTTACCTTGACTATCTACCAGAGACGTACAAACCAGACCTATCCTCTACAAATTATTTACATACATTCATAATTTTGTGCAGATTCTTTGGCTTTGAATTTACAGTCTGCTAATGAAACTAATAACTAAATCTCTGTTTCCATAGCAACTGTTAATCCTTTATAAACAGATATAAAATGAATGTACAGAAATTGTATGTGATGAAAAGGATAACTTCATCAGCTTTTGAAAAATTCAGAAATTTATTGTTAAATACCAGTACTTCCTTCGGTTTAGCTCATTCATCCCCGATATTTCATAATGAATTATTTCAACCTTTGAATTGGAAGAGTTCAAATTTGTCTTCAGGGGTGAATGAGTTAAGCATACTAGTTCTGATGTTTGCCTATCCATCAAAAATATGTAAAAATTCTTCGGTTACAGATTCCTTGGTGAAAAATCCATTGTTTAATTTCTATTAATAGGACTGGGCCAAGTTCCAAGGACCTGCTAATTTAGACTGGTATATTCTTCTGCCATGATTCAATTTGACAGATTCATTGTTAATATTAGATAAATTTCTCAGATTTTTTGTTCTATTTTCTGTACTTTCATGAATTATACCATCAACCAGAGTCACGGTGATCATTTGTAACAACAAAGTTATTGTGTTGGTAGTGATAACATTTTTGGTATATTTTGTATTTTGTTTTAACATGTAATTATGAATGAAAAGAAATTCAAAACATTGTTTATAGGAAATACAGTGAATATTGACATTCAGGAAATAGAATAAATAATATAGGATTCAGATCAAAATACTGAGAAAAATACATAATCACACAAAATCTTTATTTGTATTTTTTGACATGATATCATTTTGTTGATATACAAATACATATACATATCAAACATAATATTTTCAGCCTTTCAACTGAGTATTGTAGGGACCATTTTTCATACTTGTGCTTTGGCAAAATCTTTTTGAACATTATACTAAGTATTATCTTTTAAGTTCGGAGGACAAGTGATGAGGTTTAGGGGAGTTGATCATTTGATGAAGAATTTGTCCACTGGATGTTTTTTCTTCTTCATCAATACCATAACAAAACCATCTGTAATCAATTTGATCATATGTACTGTCTGTTCCAAACTTTAATGGGAACTCTTTAAGCTGTCAAAAGATACTTTTTTGTTGTACCATACCATAAAATTTGTTGTTGAATCTGTATGTAATTGTCCCTCCGAACATACAATCATTGTTTTAAACTATAAATAAATGGCAGGTCAAAATACACATAAAAACAATCAATATAGCAAACCCCTAAAATACTATAAATACATACATCGATATAAATAAAAAAAAAAATTAAAAAAAATTATAAAACATTTTGATGATTGTCAAGTACTATAAAATCATAATGTCCAATAACAAAGAATTTTTAGTGCGATGAATAGTAAATGAGTCTAACTGACACACCTAACAATGTATGTTTATATTTTATTGGCGATGAGTATAGATGTTCCCAAACAAGTGGTGCTTGGTGACGTCCTGTAATTTTCAAACAGAATAAAGACAATTTGAAAAATTACCTAGTAACTAATGAAAGTTATGTAAACATAAAAAACAATCATCACAATGTTACATTATGTATTTCTACCAAAACATTTATAGTGTATAAGAAAAGCTATATTTTTTGCATTATTCCTTTTGCCACGATTGAGGAAGTCACCTCTGTGAACCTTTACCTCACGATGCAACTTTCTTTGTCAGGAAAGCACTGTGATGTTATTTTCAACGAACCTTTATAACACACGCAGTATATATATCAAACATGTACATCAGTCACACTGCTGCTGGTTACACAGAACGGGAGAGGTGAGGCATTTACATGTTTTGGTTATCCAGGTCCAGAAGTGCTGAAACATGTGTAACAGGAGAAAAAGAAATGTACGGCCGGACCGGGGTTTGAACCTGGGACCCTCCCAACTCTAGACGGATGTTCTACCTGGTCGCCGAAGATCAACCCAGTCCAGTTCTGCTACACATGTTTTGGTAGAAATACATCCCTGCGTTTGATGATCACTTGTAATGAGTATATACTGTAAATATTTACACATCTGTTGTACAGCCCCTAGATAAACCTACCTACTCAAAATGTCACTAAAACGTAACACAAATAACTATAACACTGAATGACTTTCAATAGGAAACTGTTCCCGGACCTCCTGTTCTACTGTCGGTATAATCGGGCACCAATCATTGTCCTATATCCAATTCAAACTTTAACCACAATTCCTAAATGGTTTCAGATAAATTGTTTTTGTAGGGCTGAAATGGTAGTTATAGAAAACATAACCTTGTTCCCACAAAGTGGCTGTTCTGCTATCTGATAAATCAGTTTCTTTAAAATGTAACATGATCCAAAAGGAACCGCAAGCATGCGGAAATAAGAATCATTTTTAGTTTGAATATAAATGTATTGATTGAAAAACATCGTAACGTCTGTAAAACTGTAAATCTCCAATATATGATACAACATACACAAATTTGAAAATATATTATGAAATTATCTCAAACCATTTTCATAATTTGAAGTACTGCGGCAAGTTTTGATTCCTCAGCTTGGGAGACAATACATGCTATTCCATCATATAACAAGTCAAAAGTAAAAAAACATCCGTCACATTTTCTTTGTGGCAATGATACAATACGTGGAACTAATATGGAAGGTTAAAAGACGGGAATAAATCCAGAAGCACTTCAACACAGACTAGAAACCAAATATTGGACTAAGGAGTCTTTCAAACCGTACCATTATCTCTGTCAGTTTGTATAGTCAAGGCAGATCAGGAGGAACACTATCTAAATCGTTAATTACCTTGAGGACATGGAAAAGATATCTCAACCCTTGGAATAGATAACTGGGCCACTAAGGAATTAATTAACTTTCTTATGTTTCTTACACAATTATTGAGTGATCATATAAACATTTTCAGAGAATAGTGTTGAAATGACCCATGAGATTTATTTATTTCTGTGTTATTTCCAGATTCTCTGGTCCAATCAAAACCTCTGTTACATATAGGTTTATTTTATTTAGACTTATACATGTACACATACAATAACAAAATCAAGTCTTAGCACCAACTAATCTTAACAATAACTATACAACTACAACAACAACTGCTAAAGTTGTACCTAATCACAAATGGATAATTAACAAGTGGCCACGGGAGGGTATGTGGAGACTGGGGCTGGGAACGTAAATACAAAAAATCCTGTTGTGAGGATCAACCAAATCTTAAACCTAAATATAAGGCTTGCTAGTTTGAATGTTTTGTATCTCAGCAAGTCTTGCTGATTTGTTTCTCCTTTGAAATGTTCAAATCATGACAGGTTTTTAAATTTCAGCATTTTTTCTCAAATGTATAAAAAATGTATTTCGAGTTCTTACGAAGAATGCAACTTTCAAAAAAACTGTTCTGATCTTTTACAACATCTGAGGCGAAATCTTGCACCTTCTTTGGACAAGAATGTTTGACGATGATGAGAATGGCTGATGAAAACTATACATGCATGCAACATGTACAAGTAGTTGATTTTCTACACCATTTACCTTAAGTGATAATACAGAATAAAGCTTTCCTCTGGTAACTACTTCGTTACCTCGGGTTTGTGGCTCCCACTCAACTTCAAAATTTTCTCATCTCTCGTATTTGAGAATTTCCGACAATTTTGAAATTACAGGAGGATCAATATGATTAATGGCATTTGATACGATGTACACTTAAACTCACGGCATGACCTCTTCTTAAGGAGCATATGAAGGACACAAATTCCAGCATGAATAGTTTTAAAAAATAAAACTTGAATTTGATGAATGTTCAGAATTAATAATTCCACATTCCAGAAATATAAACACAATATTTTGGTCTATATATTGCACATATCAATATAAAATTCTTTGGTCAACTTCCATCAGTGTGTACAACTAGAAACGAGATATTCCGTGTCCATTTTCAACTTTTTTCTTTAGTCACAACAAATGAATATGCATTAACCACTGTACTAATGAATATTCATGATATTATTATGCAAATATTTCTAATACATTACATCATTCTATATATATAAATGTACATGTATATATATCAATCAGCAGATGATGCAACTGAATGTTGAACTCTTTACGACCTTGAGTGATGTCATATACAGTCCATCGGACCCTTCATTCATTACAGTCTACACACATAACTCAGTTTCCACATCACACTAAATCCCAACTTTGCTTCAAGTCTACAGATGGGGACAGCTTTACAGTATGAACACATCCGGTAGGAAGTCAGTATTGTTCAGTCACAACATCAGTTATCTCCCCTTTATTTATATCCCAATAATCCCGTCTGAAGAGCAATAGAACAAACTAAGACTGATTAGAGTCAAGCTCTGTGATATTCAGAAACATGAAATATAAAAATATTACCAAAATGATTTGTCTTCATATATTTTGTTTGACAATTGATCTCCTTAATTATCAATCGTCAAGATTTGAAGCAATCTCTCTTTCGTTGAATTTCATCTCATATGTTTACAGAGAAATGATAAGGTATCTTCAGTGGACATCCAATCATCCAATATATCAGCAGGATTAACAATTACCTCCCTTATATATTGCAACCCTTTGAGAGGGTTATCTCCCTTCAGTGGCCTTACACAGACGTTGATTTATATCCTCCATCTTCTATCCGATTACAACAAACGGCAACAATTATTGCTACTAGGCCCACCAACAGGACGCCCCCTGCCACTGAGCCAACGATGATATAAATAGTCATCATGCTAAGATCTTTTTGTTTGGTTGCTTTTTTCTGGTCCTTTCCATCAGACGATGAGCTCACAGATATATCATGGTTACGGACGAGATCCATTTCATCGCTAGGATTGTAGTCCATACCTCCATTCTCATTTCCTTGGTTATCATAAGGTTCAGGTGTGGAGGGAAGCTCGTTGTCAAACTCTGAAACAATTAAAACAACGGAATTTTAATCAATGACATGTGATATGTCAGAGAATGAAGCTCCAATTACAGACATATCAAATAAATCTAAATAACACACATCAAATAAACCTGAATTAAGATATCTCAAATAAACCTCAAATTAGACACATCAAATAAACATCAAATAAGACACATCAAATAAACCTCAAATAAGACACATCACATAAATCTCAAATAAGACACATCACATAAACCTCAAATAAGACTCATCACATAAACCTCAAATAAGACATCAAATAAGACATCAAATAAACCTCAAATAAGACATCAAATAAGACACATCACATAAACCTCAAATAAGACTCATCACATAAACCTCAAATAAGACATCAAATAAACCTCAAATAAGACACATCACATAACCCACATCAAATAAACCTCAAATAAGACACATCAAATAAACCTCAAATTAGACCCCCCCCCCCCCCCCCCCCCCCCCGCATATACACATCAATCGAATCATGAAAATGGAAATGTCATTCTCTGTATTCTGGTTTAAATTTTTGATACCATTTCTCTTTGATTTTTGGGCTGGGCTACCTGAACAATCAATTTTATCTCTCTCATCGCCATTTTCTTGCGAGAGAAAGAAGAAGTGTGATCACAGTCACATATCATTCAGTTTCTAAGCTTATTTAAAACACTGATCAGACTGCGATCAGGACATTATAATAAAACTATGCAGAAACAGACAGAAACTTCCATAATCGGCAGAAATAAGACAAAAACATACAGTGAATAGGCAAAACTTTAAGACATATTTATTATGTTAAAATCGTAAGGATTAGGCCCAAAAGGAATGGTTGGCACCTCTGCATGGTACTACCACTACACAAACAATTTCAAAGAAATCTATTGAAAAATGAGCAAATGCATAGCCAGTACACAAAGTGGCATATATAGCTCTCTTATAAAGGTCCGAAACGCAAAATAATGTCATGGGGTACAACTACATTTGATACTTTCGTTGCCCGGGGGTATAATAACAAACTTCAAGCTAGATGCTTCAAATTTCAAAATTACTGTCTTACCATATTGGTCCTCCTTGGGGAAGTTTTCCAAACCACCATAGTTAGAAAAGTCGGGGATGTTATATCTGTCCACAACATTAGGGTCAAGAGAGTATAAATCTTCCTCAATTCTTGTTCGTTCCCTCTGTTGCTTCTTCCTTTCTCTGTCTTTCTTGTTTTTTCTCTTTTTATCCTTATTCTTTTTATTTTTCTTATCCTTGTTTTTCTTGTTCTTTTTCTTTTTATCCTTCTTACGCTTCTTTTCATTACCCATGTTGTCAAAATCATCAAGGTCACCAAAGTCAAAGGTCGTGTCACGGAAGGTCGTTGTTGTGGGAGCCATGGTTGTTGGTGCCGGCGGTGTTGTTGTTGTGCTGCTTGTTGTACTTGTTGTGCTTGTTGTCGGAGCAGGTGTGGTTGTTGTCGTGGGCGTAGTTGTTGTCGTTGTCGTGGTGGTCGTTGTTGTTGGATTTGGTATTACATTCAGCCAGACGTGGCGGTCAATGATTGTGTAATACGTTCCGATCCAACATGTGTATTTACCAGACTGACTTGGTTGGACGCTGGTGAAAATTAATTCTCCTTCAGAGTTAGGAGTCAGATGCTGCGAGTAAAAAAGACAAAGATTTTATTACAATGACACAGTGAAAGAAGTCATCCTTACTTCAGTAATAATCAAAACTCTAAATTTACTGCTACGATACTCAAGCCGAGTGATTGACTCTGGCAGGTTTCAAAGAAATTGAATGAAATCTTATGCGCAATTAGACCTCAGAACAAGACTGAAAATAGCTCTAAACAATTCTCAGAAATTATAGGAAATGCAACACCAGAAAATCTCAACAAGAGGACCCGGGCCATTACTGCTCATGGGATATATTTTTTTATTTTAATGTAACAAATATGGTACATGGCCATGTATATCAAAAGGGTAAAATATGATGAGACAGGTAAAACAATCAGTAACAAGAGTCTTTATATATGTATGTAGGTACTGGTATTGGAGTGGTCCCATTGCCCCTAGTGGATTACCCATACCTTGTATTGGCATTGTTCATCTGTCATCTACTTATCTGAGGGATATTGGGTCAAGTGTGGACATCAGTCAATTGTACATAAATTGCATCACCGGTAGTTAATTGGGAATCAAATTACCTGAGGATAACTGTCATCTGTGACCTACTTACCTGAAGATAACTGTCATCTGTGACCTACTTACCTGAAGATAACTGTCATCTGTGACCAGCTTACCTGAGGATAACAGTCATCTGTGACCTACTTACCTGAGGATAACAGTCATATGTGACCTACTTACCTGAGGATAACAGTCATCTGTGACCAGCTTACCTGAGGATAACAGTCTTCTGTGACCTACTTACCTGAGGATAACAGTCATCTGTGAATTACTAACCTAAGGACAACAGTCATCTGTGACTTACTAACCTGAGGATAACGGTCATACGTGACCTACTTACCTGAGGATAACGGTCATATGTGATCTACTTACCTGAGGATAACTGTCATATGTGACCTACTTACCTGAGGATAACAGTCATCTGTGAATTACTAACCTAAGGACAACAGTCATCTGTGACTTACTAACCTGAGGATAGCAGTCATCTGTGACTTACTAACCTGAGGATAACAATCGTCTGTGACTTACTAACCTGTAGATAGCAGTCATCTGTGGCTTACTAACCTGAGGATAACAGTCATCTGTGACTTACTAACCTGAAAATAACAGTCATATGTGACTTACTAACCTGAGGATAACAGTCATCTGTGCCTTACTAACCTGAAAATAACAGTCATCTGTGACTTACTAACCTGAGGATAACAGTCATCTGTGACCTACTAACCTGAGGATAACGGTCATATGTGACCTACTTACCTGAGGATAACAGTCATCTGTGACTTACTAACCTAAGGACAACAGTCATCTGTGACTTACTAACCTGAGGATAACAATCATCTGTGACTTACTAACCTGTAGATAGCAGTCATCTGTGACTTAGTAACCTGTAGATAGCAGTCATCTGTGACTTACTAACCTGAGGATAACAGTCATCTGTGACCTACTAACCTGAGGATAACGGTCATCTGTGACCTACTAACCTGAGGATAACAGTCATCTGTGACTTACTAACCTGAGGATAACAGTCATTTGTGACCTACTTACCTGAGGATAACTGTCAGCTGTGACTTACTAACCTGAGGATAACAGTCATCTGTGACTTACTAACCTGTAGATAACAGTCATCTGTGACTTACTAACCTGAGGATAACGGTCATCTGTGACTTACTAACTTGAGGATAACTGTCATCTGTGACTTACTAACCTGAAAATAACAGTCATCTGTGACTTACTAACCTGAGGATAACGGTCATCTGTGACTTACTTACCTGAGGATAACGGTCATCTGCGACTTACTAACCTGAGGATAACTGTCATCTGTGACTTACTAACCTGAGGATAACGGTCATACGTGACCTACTTACCTGAGGATAACGGTCATATGTGACCTACTTACCTGAGGATAACGGTCATATGTGATCTACTTACCTGAGGATAACTGTCATATGTGACCTACTTACCTGAGGATAACAGTCATATGTGACCTACTTACCTGAGGATAACAGTCATCTGTGACCTACTTACCTGAGGATAATGGTCATATGTGACCTACTTACCTGAGGATAACGGTCATATGTGACCTACTTACAAACTGAGGATAACAGTCATATGTGACCTACTTAACTGAAGATAACTGTCATCTGTGACCTACTTACAAACTTAGGATGACGGTCAGCTGTGACCTACTTGCAAACTGAGGATAACGGTCATATGTGACCTACTTACAAACTGAGGCTAACGGTCAGCTGTGACCTACTTACCTGAGTATGATGGTCGTCTGTGGTTGACCCATTGTTAGCTTTAACCCACTGGATCGTGGCATCAGGAACATTTCGGGCGCGACAGATAAACATGGCATCCTCTCCTTCCTGCACAGTCACATTCTGCGGAGCCTCAATGTCAAGGTCAACGGATTGTTCTGTGAGGGCAAAAAAGTCATAAAATTGATTCCAAAATTGCAGTTACTACTCTATTCCTGCAATAAGTCAAGTACACAAAGCTTTACAGATAGGTTTTCCTGCAGTTTAGTATACTGGACAAGATGTTACACACATTATTCCTGTTGTCTTGTGTCTAGTGTACTAAACAAGATTTTAGAAGAAAACAATTCCTTCTTTGCTATCTGTTATACTAGATACTATTATGTCTCCTTTCTTAGTGTTATTAGTTTACACTTCCTTTCCTCTTATCTAGTATACCAGACAAGGACTGGAGATTTCCCTCCCTGTAAGTACACTTATCTAGTATACCAGACAAGGACTGGAGATATCCCTACCTGTAAGTACACTTATCTAGTATACCAGACAAGGACTGGAGATTTCCCTACCTTAAGTACACTTATCTAGTATACCAGACAAGGACTGGAGATGTTCCTACCTGTAAGTAAGTAAACTAATAGAGACTTTTAGAGATTACCTTTACTGTTATCTTATGTCGAGACTATCTTCCTTTAGAATTATGCATGCATTCTATTGACTTAGAACTAATTACTATCAAAAGATGTTAGTATGAAACTTTCCTGTACAAAAGATTGTATGTCACACTTACATAACATATATCCTTAAATATCTATATTTAGTAATGCTGACCTTCACCTTTCACTCTATGAAGACTACTTCTATATATAGTAATGCTGACCTTCAACTTTCACTCTATGAAGACTACTTTTATATATAGTAATGCTGACCTTCACCTTTCACTCTATGAAGACTATTTCTATATATAGTAATGATCTTCATTTGGCTCTATAAAGAGTATATCTATATATAGCAATGATGACCTTCACCTTTCACTCTATGAAGACTACTTCTATATATAGTAATGGTCTTCATTTGGCTCTATAAAGAGTATATCTATATTTAGTAATGCTGACCTTCACCTTTCACTCTATGAAGACTTTTGCTATATATAGTAATGGTCTTCATTTGGCTCTATAAAGAGTATATCTATATATAGTAATGATGACCTTCACCTTTCACTCTATGAAGACTTTTGCTATATATAGTAATGATGACCTTCACCTTTCACTCTATGAAGACTACTTCTATATATAGTAATGCTGACCTTCACCTTTCACTCTATGAAGAATATTGCTATATATAGTAATGATCTTCACCTTTGGCTCTATATAGAGTATATCTATACAAGTATGCATATATACTAATGATGACCTTCACCTTCAGCTCTATAAAGACTAGTATTTTTAAACATAATTATGGTATCTTTATTTAGTAATGGGGACCTTATGTTTCACCTTTGATCTATTTAAAAATCAAATTCTTATAAGAAACAATTTTGATATCAAGTGTAAATGATATTTAACCCATTCACCCCTAAAATCACATTTGAACCTTATCAAATCAAAGACTGGACAAGTCCAGTTTATAAATGTCGAGATGAACGATTCTGATTGCAAAATGTTTTAAACATATCAGGAAAATGTGAACTGATATTCTACAGCAGATAGGATAAAGTTTTACTCCACTGAGGTAGTACTTACTGACAATATCCACTCTGAACGTGAACTCTTTGACCCCTGCTTCGTTGGTTACTACACACTTGTAATCTCCATTGTCTTCCATTGTAGCACCATTCATGATTAAGGAATACCTGTGTTCTCGTGACTGAAACACACACACAAACAAATTAAGATTCATTTAATTTGATTTTAGAATACAGTAAAAGTACTAACAGAACACTCAAGGACTCTACTTTGTGCCTGAACATATACATCCCTATAACCCAAGGTCTGTGTCTGAACATATACATCCCTATAACCCAAGGTCTGTGCCTGAACATATACATCCCTATAACCAAAGGTCTGTGCCTGAACATATACATCCCTATAACTAAAGGTCTGTGCCTGAACATATACATCCCTATAACCCAAGGTCTGTGTCTGAACATATACATCCCTATAACCAATGGCAACCATTTAAGATCATGGGATCAGGATAATATGTCCTTAATATTCACCATGTACACTATCTACAAATTTATTTTTCCTCAAAGATGAACTAAGCACAACAACAAAACAAGTTTGTAATGTTATATGTCTCAGCCAATCAGAAGCAATGTATGATGGCTATCTTGGATTTTGTGGGTAATACAGTGTTATCAATGGGTAATACAGTGTTATCAATGGGTAATACAGTGTTATCAACAGGTAATACAGTGTTATCAACGGGTAATACAGTGTTATCAACGGGTAATACAGTGTTTCCATGGGTAATACAGTGTTATCAATGGGTAATACAGTGTTATCAACGGGTAATACAGTGTTATCAACGGGTAATACAGTGTTATCAATGTAGGACATCATTCAAGTATTATTTATCATAACATAAATGCCAAAGGGTTGACCGTAGATGGACTGGGGGACAGATAATGTGAAACCATAGGTCACTTACATATGCACCAGCCAGCTCTAGTTAGTGGTACTGTATTCAACATGACACAAGCATTAATATGCGTATCAACCATAGGAATTCTTTTCTTTTGGACAAAAATATTCATTTCTTTCAACATTTTTTTTTTCTGTTTTTAATTTTCAGTTTTCTTAATCTCCTTATTATGTAAGTTATTAAGAAATTGTTTAAAGTAAAAAGCTGACGCTGGCTTGACCACAGATGCTACACCACTGCATGAATTAATGTTCCTTCAGGCAGGCAAGCTAAACATTGTTAATCTTAGGTGTCAGTATTAAAATCTTACAAAGAACTGTTTTTCAATTTCAATGAACTTTCAAAACATACTTTATATACAGAATAAGATCAGTTTGGTATGAATAATAAAGTTTGTTTCGAAAACAAACAGGAACCGGAAAAAAAATGTGCGAGCTTTTGAAAACATTTGTTTCCTTTGTCGAGCAAAGAGTGTAAATGACTGGGAACTCAACTCTAAACTGCTGAAAAAAACTCTAATTTCTGTTTGTGTTACAAACAATTTTAGCTTTCATCCTTTTATTTATCTTTGAATCAAATGATACCACTTACATTTGTTTTACAAATTTAAGCATCCAAAATAAACCATAATATCAAATCTTAATGTCACATTTTAACTTGTGTTTCAGACATCAAATCAATATTGGTTTCATCAGCCGCCTATATCATCTAAAGTTTAAGACCTGGCCATGTGTTAGCTTTCCATATGATCATCAACACAGTTTCCTATTGCCATATATCATATTTCTGCAATAGTAATCTTCACATGCAAACTCCATTATTTTAAGCGGTGTTGATTTCTGCCTTTGACAACAAATCCTATTAAAGAGAGAGATATTTATGGTAATATTGTGTTTTCTACTACGACCAGAGGTTAGGATTCGGAAAGATCAGATTCGCAACCTACTCAATAACCTATCCTATTACATCTATGACAACATTTCTACTGAATATCAATTTAACTCCATTCAATTTGAGAGGCATGCAGTGTACTTTATTTCATTTAGATCCATCACTGATATTTTCTACCGATGAATTTTGAATGAATATCTCAACAAGCTAAGAGTGCAATAAATGCCCTGTCACGTTTAGTTTTCCCTTTTTATTTCATGTTTGAATTTTTTCTCATACATTTGTAGTTGGAATTTAGGGAAATCTTTCCCGTTTAAACAAGAACTAATATGATAAAGATAATTTAAAATTCTCTAAATTTTTCACTTAATTTCAATTACTGATTGTTTTTCTCCGCACAAGTATCATACACACAACATTTCGTCATTAGACAAAACATGGTTGTTTTAACATTTCACACTTTTATATCTTTCAGTTGTTTTTTTTCTTGTGTTTTTAAAAACCAATACAAATTATATTTTTTCATGAAAAGAATAAAAGTACGTTCCACCTATTTCTCCACAATTCATATTCATTATAATCATTTCAGTAAAAGCACACCTGGGATTTCTGCAGGAAATTACATAAAAACCTTTTCTCTTGATCAGTGTCTGAGTTTCTTATTCTGTATGTCACCCTGGTAAAATACTAGCTGCTAACCTATCAACTCAGCTCGGGAGAATTTCTCTTTACCTCATTCGGTAGAGCGTAATACTAGTAAGCCAGAGGTCCCGGGTTCGACTCCTAACGGGGACATTGAAAATGAAAAAAATAATGACCTCTGTTACATGTAGTTGATCAATCGGTTGTTTACAGGAATTTGTGTAATTTCTATATCCACATCCTCCTTTGAAGGATTTAAAATAGAAATTTAGTTATTGGTGAAAAGAGCACAATTCACACCTTGTTCATATGTATTTTCTGATTTTTTCTTATTATCATCTGTTTAAATTTTTTTCAAATGGAATATTGAAATAAAAGCTTGATTTATATATAAATTTTCCTTTTTTTTTTGGTTAATTGATCCTATTTCTGTAACGGAAAACAAAAGGAAATGTTGTTCATTAATTAGACTTCTCAGCTAATAGGAATCAATTATTACAGTTGTTTTCTCTCACACAATCAGAATTTTGATACTTGGATTTTCAGGAGTTTGTTGACATCTAATTGCACCAGAAAGTTCTCCAATTAAATGTTCTCTCTGCTAATTTTCATAACGATCATTTTGACCTAAAAATTTCCAATTTAGTACAACTGTCAAATGTTCTTTACTCATCGTTCCGTACAAAATATTCTTTACTCATCGTTCCGTACAAAATGTTCTTTACTCATCGTTTCGTACAAAATGTTCTTTACTCATCGTTCCGTACAAAATGTTCTTTACTCATCGTTCAGTACAAAATGTTCTTTACTCATCGTTCCGTACAAAATGTTCTTCACTCATCGTTCAGTACAAAATGTTCTTTACTCATCGTTCATTACAAAATGTTCTTTACTCATCGTTCCGTACAAAATGTTTGGTGTAAACTCCCTTTCAACACTAGGTAACTTTCAGGAAATTTCATATACCTAATTAATTTAACATTCTTTTTAAAAATCTCTCAATTATGAAAATTTTCAACATTTAACATAACTGTATGTCATATCAAAATAAACATTAAATCTGATGAACACAATGTGTAGATGATCACTATGCAGATGAGACAAAGTAAAATTTCTGATTTCTGTTTGTCTTAGTAAAAAGAAAACAAAACGTATTACTCTTCGTATCAATAATAAGAGTTAAGTATTCTGATGATATAATATTATGGGGAGTAAACTTTCAACTTTTCATGTATACTTCACAGCGAGAAGTCACAGGAAGTTACTGATAATATCCTCTGTTGAACAAGCGGACAAACAAAAGTCAGTAAACTTATACATCTGTTTTAAATCCCTCAATTATGTTTTTAAGTGTTGAAACATATGGCTTTCTAAAAACATTTTACTGAAACAAAATTCTTTGTTATAAAACAGTTTTGAATAGAAATTAATGGCACACTGTTTTATTAACAGATAAATCACCAGTAAGAGTAACAAATGATTGAATTCGTTCTATTAGTATGGGATTTCCACAATACCTGAGGTATGTCTTCGACCACTCCTAGATTTATATTTTGTATAGCATTCCTTAGTTTTGATCAGTGCTACAATTCTATCGGTTGAACTATGACTAAGTATTATGCAGAATGCTTTGTCTCATGAGAACCAATACCTTTGCTAATTAGCATTCCAAACGTTCACCGTTTCTTATCATCTATTTTTTTCATGTGACCAAAAATGATTTTGGTTGGGTTCATGTCAGGAGTATTGTCATTGGCTGCCTGCGTTAGTGTGCCGCAGACTTTAAAATGGTTTATCAGTACAATATATACTATTAGCTATACATGAGCCAGCTTTACTGGGCAGCCATGTTGAGTGTAGGTGTCATCGGCCGCCTGCGTTAGCGTGCCACTGACTTTGCTTTATCAGAACTATATATATTTACTTTGCATATTTCTGAGAAGTATGATGGATTACGGTTAATTTCGTAACTGCTATATAGTTCATCAATTCGGTCTCTACCTTCTGTTTATAATTTCACAGTGTGTCAGGCAGCATGAAACTGCAATATATGATGTCAAAATTGCATCAAGACATTTTTCTTTACATTGTATTATCGGAAGTTATACAGCATGCATTTGCTTAACAGAAAAGCTTGTTTTTGATATATGAGCCGTGAGATAACCAGACATCTTACTATTAAGAAGTGATTATGATGGATATCTTTTTTGTTTATTCAGAAGTACAACCTGCTTGATGAAGAACAATACATTGAAATGGAAAATATAGGTCAATTCTCATGACCGGCACAGCTCTGTATCACCAAATATCTAAATCAATCTGCTGTTGTACTGACATTTTCCCTGCTTGTTATTATAATTTCATGTTAAGTCATATCTCTAACATGCAGTTATCTTCCAAAAATGGTGATATTCGTTTATGACAGTTTATCCTATGTAAGAGTGGAGAATACAAAATTCTGTTCAAGGGTGTGTATATTGGGGTCAAGGGTGTGTATATTGGGATCAAGGGTGCGGATATTGGGGTCAAGGGTGTGTATATTGGGGTGAAGGGTGTGTATATTGGGGTGAAGGGTGTGGATATTGGGGTGAAGGGTGTGGATATTGGGGTCAAGGGGTGTGTATATTGGGGTGAAGGGTGTGTATATTGGGGTCAATGGTGTGTATATTGGGGTCAAGGGGTGTGTATATTGGGGTCAAGGGTGTGGATATTGGGGTCAAGGGTGTGGATATTGGGGTCAAGGGTGTGGATATAGGGGTCAAGGGTGTGGATATTGGGGTCAAGGGTGTGGATATTGGGGTCAAGGGTGTGGATATTGGGGTCAAATCAAGCTATTCTGGATAAGAGAACATTTTTTTAGGTTAACACTGTAAAGCGATGTTTATGGTAATATTCTCATGATAGGACCCAAGTTCAGGTTTTGTAGGATTGTATTCTCAACCATTCCATTTCCTAACCTATTACATCTAGGAGAACATTTCTACCATGCGTCATTTAACTCTGTCCATTGTGTATATTTTGCTCAATTTTCACTGTTTTTGTATGAAGCTTAATATGTCCTGTTTGCTTTAAGCTTATAGATAATCACTTTAATGCATACAATTTCAATAAAAAAAACACTTTGAATAACGTGTTTTATATATTTTGTGGCAAATAAATATTTGTAGGGTTAATTAGCAAAGCTTCTTTTCATTTTTTTATTGTTGTTATAGTTCCAAACAATGCCACACACCAAAAAAATAAAGCCTAGTCACAGTCAGTATATCATATGTACAGTAAGAGTAGACTTTGACCAAAAGTCCATGTGCATGTATGTGCACAGGTCATATCGGAAAGCTTATAATCTCTACAAAATTGCATAACCATTAGGTGAAAGTTTCAACACATTCTGCTGGTTAGTCGCGAAGCGGTGGAGTCCCCTTAACTCAGTTCAACTTTTCATTCATATCACCATGACTGGTGTAACGCCATGACTGGTGTAACACCATGACTGGTTCCACTCAAGTATGTAGGCATCCAGAGAACCAGGTCCAGGTACCAGCGTATGTATTTGAATAATTCCTGCTTACAATGGCATCGCAGGACATGGCTACACCGTTTCCTGGCAAAGTGAGGGATATAACCCCTACCTGCAGTCTGTGTAACCATGACAACCAATTACATCTGCCTATGACAGAAGCTGGGATAGAGATACATATATCTGTCTACAAGAATGAGCAACTTTGGTACGTACATCACCTAAACAAGACATGTCGGATACTGAACTAATGAATTTATGAAAAGAATTCAGCTATGTCATCAAAATTGTCTCACTGATAGTCGAAGTAGCGACCCAAATTTTATTTTAGACAGCTAGATCTAAAAGTAAATGGCTAATGGAATAAAAAAAATCAATATATTTGATTTTAGGTGTAGAAAAGCTTCATTTCCTGAAATTATCTTCATTGTAAAGGGTTGGAGTGGTGAATGCAGTGGCAGGAAAATGAGCTTGGATCTGGCAGAAATGTGAATGTCATCAAAGCTCATCTTACATCTTACAACATTATGATATAGGTCATCTCTATATAGGACGCCAGTTCATCACAGGCTAATTACTTCCCAGGATGTTGGTACTCATTTGAAGGGCTAGGCAGACTGGAACAACCAGTTTAGAAATAATGGTAATATGCCAGAAAAGTCAAATTTAACTCCCTCCAGAGTTTAAAAAGCCTCAGAACTATGAAAAACAAGGTTACCGCGAGCGGTATATAATACGCCCGTCACACATTGAATGAGCAGTTGTTTGTATGATTGAAATATATGAAGTATTTGTGAGTAATTGATATTAAAAGAGAAATCATTCAACATAATTGGTAGATCAATGAGTGCAATACAACATCATGGAACGCATGCATCGCATTAATGAAACCAAGGG